AATGTCTTCTCTGACCCACTCACCTTTCAGGAGCATAGTTTTTAGTTTCTATATATTTGTACTATTTCCAAGGGTCCTTTTGTTGTTGACTTTTAGTTTTATTCCACTGTGGTCAGAAACGTTACTTGATCTGATTTCGGTTTTGTTTTCAACGCCATCCTTTCCTGAGGCCCACAGTGTCTGGTCATGTTTCAGTGTGCTAAAGCATAGGATTAGCACAGCCTCAAGAGCAGATATGGCCTCAACTTGTTTGCTTGCTGTCTGTTTAATTTTTTTTTTTTTTTTTTGTTCCTTGTCATGTCTGGTGTCTGGCTGCACTTGAAGAATGTTTGTTCTAAGAGACTTACTATCTGTTGCCTGCATTCTTGACAAACAGAAGACTGCTTCTACATCATTTACAGGGAATTTATTTCTGTGCACATTTTGGGGAGCTGTCTATTCTTTCTGTTGAATATAACCTATACTAAACAGCCTAATTCCATGCTATTTTATGTTTTTCTAACTGAAATTATCTTTATTTGAAATTCACCAATGGAATTTTCTCTCTTTCAATTAAAACCATTCTAAAGTTTTCCTGCCATGATAACCTAAGGGGAATTATGAATCCGACTGAGTAAATATAAAGAAAAGACTCTTATCCAGTTTGTATGACTCATGGACTCTCTATTTTCTCTATGTGAATCACAATGGCTGATGGCTGTGACATGCCAAACACTCATGATCAGGAGAATGTTTAATTTTCCAAGCCACATTGGCACTGCTATCCACGTTGCTTGTGTTATAAACTTACAAAAGAGTCAGGTTTGTTATTGTTATGGTATTTAAGGTATTTATTTATTTTAATATATTTATGTGTTTTAAGTGATATCACCTGATGAAATATGAAGAGGGAAAGGGACTTCAATCAAACTTAAGTTCAGGGGTGGTTGTTTGGTACAGTGGCTTAGTTCACTGCTTAGGGCACCTGCATCCCGTATTGGACTGCTTGGTTAAAGTTCTGGTTCCTCTGCTTCAAATCCAACTTTCTGCTGATGAGTATCCTGGGAGGCAGCAGGTTCTCAAGTCTTGAGTCCCTACCACCCAGGTGAAAGTCTCCGATGGGGTTCTAGCCTTATGATCTTAGCCTGGTCCAATCCTGGCTTTTGCAGGCATTTAGGGGGTGAAACAGCAGTGAAAAATCCCTCTCTCACTGTTTTTCTCTCTCTGTTTCACTGCTTTTAAAATAAAAATAAATAAACAAACCAATTAACAATATTTCCATTAAATAATCTTGGTTCTGTTTTCTGATAAGGCATGATAAGCTTCTGTTTCTAAATTAAATTTCATTTAAAATTAGATGTAGATAAAAATATAAATGCTTTGGAATATATACTTAAAAGTTCTAAGATGATACATAATTAATTTGCAAATATATTAAGTTCTCACTTTATTCTAAAGAATCCAAAGTTGGTTACACAAGATATGATGATTTTTATGAAACCCC